CCCTCGCCATCTTTTTTTCTACGCCGCCAGGTGGGGTTTGGATGGATTCTTCCATATGGCTCGCGGGAAGAACATGTGTGGAGTCGCAGACTGCGCTTCTTTCCCTCTAGTCCCCTGAAATAACCCTCCCCCTCGAGCCTAGCTGAGCGCGCAATCGTGGACGTGAATGACCTTCGCTTTGGAAGCGCATGCCTAGGAAGGCAGCTTGTATGTGTGTCGTCGGCTTGTCATGCCATGTGTTGAGCCTCGCGGGTCGTGACAGCCGCACTGCTGTGGGCCCCACGCACGTCATTGTGGCGTTTCTTGTTTGGTTCTGTCTCGACATGGACGAAGAAGATAGCGTGCCTGTGGCAAATGATGTTCCCTCCCTTACTTGAGCTGGTTGGTAGCTTTGTTGTTTGTCGGAGGCAAGCTAGTACCATGCACGCACGTACACGCGGGTGAGATCCCTCTCTCCACCTCTCTCACCCTGTGAGCGGAAACTTGTGTCCCACCTAGCTTTTGTTGCGCAGCGTAGCCCCACCGATTAGCCTCGAGCGAGTTTCGGGTGGCTGGCATGGTGAGGCGTTTCGTTTGATTTTGTATGATGGACGGGCGAGCGAGCGAGGGCGGTGGTGCTATTGTACGATACAGGACAGCACACGCACAAGCACGTGGCGCCGGTTCCCTTCCAATTGAGAGGGTCGGGGATGCAAGTGTGGAAACATGGTCGAGGGTTGGTTGACGTGTAGACAGGTTCGATGGGTGTGGCCGTTTGTCTTCACGCTTGTCGGCTTCAATGGTAGTACTTCTACATTTAAAAGCAGTGGGGGACTTGTAGGGGAGTGTCTTGCCCTAAGGCTCTGACGGGAGCGTGAGGAAATAGGAGGAAGGAAACGTGTTTGGGGCGAAAGCACTTGGTAGGCAGGGAGGTGAAACTCTCCGGGGGGCGGCTGTGTTTCGGTTTTGGAGCGATGGTGATTTTCACACCCATCCAAACGTAGTTTGTACAGAGCAAATTGTGTGGTACGTATTTTCTTGGTTGATGATTTTAAACCTATGGCAGCAAGCAAGCTGTCAAGACTTTCTTTTCGCGGCACCAAGTGAGGCGTGTGGTCGGAATCAGAATGAATGGACCGCTGTGTATATTAGTTACGTACGTAGAGCAGAACAAAATCCGGGGTTCACCCAAACGTCTGGGGAAGCTCCTATTCTCCCCCCTTCTCGTTTCCCTTTGGCAGTGCAAAAGTGCCCGGGGAAGCGTCAGCTTTTGATATTTTGTTCCTTGTCGGTCGTGCCTGAGCCGCGGGAGGGTTGGTTGCCCGACCATAGCTTGAACTGCTGCTGTAGGCTTTTCTTTCGTTCGTTCTTCGCATCTCGTGTACGCAAGCGCAAGGTGCCCTCTCTACTCCTCCCATCCCGTGTCTTTGAGCACTGGGTCACCCCACCAATTCTATCTCAAAAACACAGAAAGCAGACCTCTTGGCAAGCAGTGCACCTGTGGCTAACGCCGGCCCAGTGCGGCACGGAAGACACGCAAAAGGTGGCGGCTTTCGCAGAGAGCAAACATCAACTCCCAGGAAAACCATCTCGCCGTGTCGTGTAGTTGTACACCACAAAACGCGATGCCATTGCTGCTCTAGCCACAGGCGACGCTTCCCGGTGCCTCCATCAGTGCTGCCTGCCGAATACCGCCACACTTAGCGCTAGTCATCGAGGTCCTCGAGGGGGTTCCTGTCACGAGAGAGGGACCACCACCACCACGAGCAGCAGGGGGGGTCGTTGAGGTTTGACGCTGTCGGAGGGAACCCTCCGTTCGACAGGCCACAAGCAACTTCCGCGGTACATGGCCAACACGACGCAGCGAACCATGATCGAATTTTAGGGAGCACGCATATTAAAAATAGTTGTAATAAAATTTATAGCCCCTTCTAAACTTAGGTATGAGATCTATTTTAAAAACAAGTCGAGAACGATCTCAGCTTTCTCTTTCGCCGCTTTGGGAAAGCTTAAGTCAAGAACTACTTCAAGCATCTCAGAATAAAGGAAAGATTGTAGAAAAAAGATATAAAGTTAATAAATTAGCAATATCTAATAAAAGAAAAGTTCATTTTGCTTTTCATCATTAAATTTACAATATTAAAAACTAAATATGGATTTTATTCATTTCTTTTTTGTATCGACTTTATTATTTGTTATCGGCGTGGGAGGAGTTATTTTAAATATAACAAATATTGTTGTTGTTCTTATGTCTTTAGAGCTTGCTCTTCTTTCAGTAGAAAGACTACCCTAACCCTAACCTCTTCTAAATCATCCTTATAAGTTGAAAAGAAAAAGTCTTTTGCTTCACTAATGTCGTTAAATAAAGAAGTAAGGTCTGCTAATTTTGTAACAAGTAACAAAATAGCGATAAATTTTAAAAAGAGTATTAGATTGTTTAGTGTGTGTATGTTTTATTCATAATCCTTAAATAAGTGATCAAAATCAATCTTATGTACAGTTTGCCCCTTATCCGCCTCTTAAAATGGATATTTAATATTAAAAATGCTTTGATAAAGATTTTTTTTTACGTAAATGCATTCTAAAAACAAAATAAGGATCATGGAGGGCATTAAACTATGGGAAAAAAGTTAAATTAACCCCAATAAACATAAGCCAAAAATGAATCTGACCTAACCCTTCAGGATAAGTTAAACCAGTCATTTTACCAATCCAAAAATAAAATGCTGCAAACATTGTAAATGCNTAGATTGTTTAGTGTGTGTATGTTTTATTCATAATCCTTAAATAAGTGATCAAAATCAATCTTATGTACAGTTTGCCCCTTATCCGCCTCTTAAAATGGATATTTAATATTAAAAATGCTTTGATAAAGATTTTTTTTTACGTAAATGCATTCTAAAAACAAAATAAGGATCATGGAGGGCATTAAACTATGGGAAAAAAGTTAAATTAACCCCAATAAACATAAGCCAAAAATGAATCTGACCTAACCCTTCAGGATAAGTTAAACCAGTCATTTTACCAATCCAAAAATAAAATGCTGCAAACATTGTAAATGCTGCTTAGGGTTAGGGTTAGGGGGGCACAAGGCAGCTCAAGGGTTATCGTGTTGCCTCGAACTGCTGTATAGGCAGCTGTCGTCTACGTCGCAGCATCGATACATGCACCAGTCCCATCAAGTACTCGCCGGCCCGGCGGGAAGCTCAAAAGGCTCGCTACAACGGAACTCAGGACTTGACCAAAGGTGCAACCAGTTTTCGCCCGCGTCCGACCACTAAGGGCAGACAGACCCAAACAAGCCAACAACACAAGAAGGTTTGGACATTTGGACACACGTAGTTCCAACCTAATTAATCGAGGAGGCTCGGCCATCGACCAAAACCAATCAAAAACAGGAAACAAACACGACTACTCACGACGAGCTCTCAGCATCACCACCATCGCCAGATCTCTACGTCTTTGCTTCTTCCACGCCACCGCCCTCCTCCCCCTCTTCTTCGGCGGCTGGCACCGATTCAGACGACGCCTGCGGCGGGGGCACCGCCGAGCCGAACCCGAAGTCGTCCTTCCCGCCGCCCCCCCAGCCGTCGTCCCCTGGGTCCTTGTCCAGGTCCATGTTGAGGTCGTCCATCATGCTGCCCGAGTCGCCGCCGAGCCCCCCTCCTGCCCCTCCAAGGCCGCCAAGGCCGCCAAGGCCGCCGCTGCTGCTGCTGCCGCTGCTGCCGCTACCGCTGCCGTAAGGGTCGGGCTTGTCGAACGAGGACCCCGGTGGGGCGCCTCGGTTCTGGTGCGATTTCAACATCGCCTCTCCTGTCGTTGGGGGCGGACCGCCGGACAAGTCGACGGACACCATGGGGGTACGGCAAAGGGGACCCGTGCAGCGTACGGGACACGGGACGACCATTCGGTACACGGGACGACCATTCGGTACACGTTGTGACACGAGAGGATAGGGTAGGGCAGCTTTTGGCAAGGTCCGGGTCGGCGTCAACAACAAAATTGTGTGGACAAAAGGACGAATTTCTACTGCCTTGACTGACGGACTGTTTGGTACCGATCTCCACGGCAATTGCAGCCTGCTCATCCTCTTCCTGCTGTGCGTGACAGCTGGGTATACCATGCTGCGCAGTGTAAACGGGGTTTTCTGGCTGGTGTTGTTCAGCGTTCGTTTGCTTTGCTCTTCGCACGAACGCCTCACAGCGAAAGCATCCAGTGCACCGGACAAGGGGGAATAGCGTTGGCGTGGGTGTGACAGGGACGAGGGAGCAAGCGACGTCAACGTGGCATGACGGCATGACCAGCATCGGGGCGAGAACGCTACAAAGAACGCCAGAAAGACCGTGGGACTCCCAATGCGATGCAACAATTCAGGGGAGGTTCAGCAAGTTGTGGCGTGTGTAAATTGCGCCTTGAGCTAAAACTGTGCTCGTCTGGTGTTGACACTCCACTACAGGTAATCGCCGCTCATAGCTCGAAAGGTATGACACGACAGTTACACGCGCGACCCTACACTCCGCTTGCTAGCTTTCACATCCTCACCGATTAGCTTCTTGGTAGATTCATCTCCCTCGTCGTACATGTCCTTCATCATGTCCATGATTCCTGCGGTTTATTTCACACGGTACCCGAGAGGAGAGGCAACGGCGTTTGCTTGACAAAAAAAAAAATGTTCAGCGTATTTTGGCAAGTTTACCCGTGCTTAATTCAGGATCTTCAATCTCTCTGGCGTTTCATCGCTGCCACTTACCGCACCCCGAAAACGGACACCTGAGATTCTCCAAAAGAACGATGCGAGACTGTCACACAAACAAGAAGAGGCTTTACCGTTTGGCTCGAGAGTCGGGGCGTCAACAACCTCTTTGCCCATCTCTCCCCGCTACTGGCTGCTTGACCCTTTACATGCCGGAACCTCGCATGTCATCGTCGCGGCAAAAAAATCGAGTTGCTCTATACTTAAGCAACGCTTCGATCGATTCCAACAGGTCAGCCCATCGTGCTATACATCTGTCCACATCGTCCACTTTAGTTGCAATAAGCAGCAAAAAATCTCCGAAGCTTCTTGTCTTGTCTAGAGTAGCCCAGACGATACGACATCAATGAAATAATAGTTGCGGTGAAAGATTGAGTTTCTCAATCATTGCTCCAAATTTGTCATTTTTGTTCCAAATATGTGTGTTGTCACCTGCTTGTGGGTCAGCTTTGGTGTCGACTCTCTTCGCCTTCTTCGCCGCCAAGTTGGCCCAGTTGTCGTAGGTCCCGTACTCGCCTTTCACCTACAAAACAATACAGGAGAGAGACAATTCAGCAGTGCAGGCGTGGGAGGAGGATGCACCTCTTACTCAAGGTGTTACCCTTATACATATTGCAAGACTTGAGAACGTTCGCCGGAGACAGATTTGGTAACTTGAGACCCAGCCCCCAATCTGAGAAACTTTCCGAGGTGCAACTGCCCGAGAGCTGCTGCGGTCACCTTGTCGGGCCTTGGAGTTGGCAGACACGTGTCCACGATCGTGAGCTCCCGTCCATACTCTTGGAACTCTAGCCTAGCCTGATCCAAACGATAGGCCTGCAGGGTAACTTTCTCCACTTATCACGAAAGGAACTACGCCTGCGTTGGTGGTCGGCGGAACCACTTTTTCACGCGACACTCAAGCTCACGAGTGTCTGAACCACTGGGGGAGCAAAAAGACACTGGTTCCCACCAGAAAAACTTACAACTTCATTTGACGCTTTCAAAGCAACATCCGCACGCCAAAGCAGTACAACTTCACAATCACAAGCACTCAACCAATACTACAAAATGCTTGTTTGTGTACCGTCGATAAGGTCAAGTGACGTACATCTTCGAACGACGTGCAGATCCGGATTTACCTCACTGACGCCCGTAATAGCGAGGGATTTGCACATTTCCCAGGCTAGGTGGATAGACTGATGCACATCTTCGACAAGGACAAACTTAGCAGGCGTAGTGATATACCTTCTGCAGCTTGACGATGACTTTGTCTCTCTTCACCAGGATCTTGCTTTCGCCTGGCACGATGTCCTTGTCGAGGTTGTTCTGCAACAGCCGGTAGCTCTTGCCATTCAGATCCTTCACCCTGATAAACGCAGACACGTCCAGACAAAAAGAAAACAGCGACAGCAGCAGAAGCAGCACCAGCAGCAGATGTGAGCAATCAAGTCAAACACGAGGCACGCCGAAAATACTCGGCAGTAAATAAGCGCCCGATCCATCGGATACAGCAGCAGCAACGCGTCTTGGATATCCCAACCCGCCATCTGACGGCCTCAGAAAGCAATCAAAAATCGCCATCGTCACACGGGTCAACCTCTCTGCGGAGGAAGAGGACAACGGGGAAGTAAGATTTCTAGGCAGTAGGAAATAGGCCAGCCGAACAGACCATGTACTACTCACGTGAGGTCGAACCCTCGGGTGGTGAAGGAGCACGAGACACGCTCTTTCGCCTCGCCGACGCCCTCGAGCGGGACGTACACGGACACCTTCGGGCTGCTGAAGCTTCCTTGGTCCCAGGCGAATTTTTCGACGGTCGCGTACCTTGACGTTTTTTCGTTTTTTGTTTGCAACGGGAGGAGGCAGGCGCGGTACGCCGGCGGGATGTGGCGGTTTGTTGCTTTACAGTAGGGACGAGAAAAAACCCACACACAAAAAAATGCGTGTGTAGTACCGCGCGGGCGGTATGGAGGCTGGCGCATCCTCCTTTGAGAAAACCATCCGGCCATCTTTCTTCGAAGGCGCCTCTCGTCGGGCGAGATAGACAGAGAGCAAGTCAAACCACCCGAGCACCACGATATGTAACGGCGCACGTTTAACACGATGCACATGACCGATGCCATATCCTTGGCATGAATACACCAAAACCTAGCGCAGAACTGGTGTGGTAAATACACGCCAGGTGGGTGATGCGGAAAAAACAAAAAAGCAATTGCGACAACGATACAGGGCCACAGAAGCGAGGGGTAGCTCGGGAAAGAGGCTGAGCACCCGGAGCTGTGAGGCAACACGCCGCGCCACCCCACGCCTAGTCACAAGGTCTACCGTGTACAAATCTGCCTCCCCCTCCTCCCCCCAAACAATCTTCTACTACCAAGCAAAAGGGCATCACCAGCAACAAAAAAAGAGGGAGTCAACTCTCCCTGCACAATACAAAGGCAAGTTTCAGCCAAGCCAGGCCCAGCGACTGATCTGCGCCACGTCCTCCCGTCTCACTTTCTCTCGGGCGCACGAGGCGGGGCAGGCACGCCTCCCTCCACCTTGGCAGCAGGAACAACAGGAGCACCTGCGGCTTCTGCTGCCGCTTGCCCCTCCGCCTCCGGCAAGTGAGACCCGCTCAAGGCCGCCGGGACATCGTCTCCACCACCATCCCCACCGGCCGCCACCGCCACCGCAGCCGCCGCCGGTCTGCTGCTGCTGCTGCTGCTGTCGGTCTCGGCTTCCGCTGGCTCTGCCGCCGCGGTGCTCTGTAGCGAGGCAACAAGACCCGAGAGGGCTTTTCGAACCCTTGGGCCCTTTTCGGGGGAGGGAGCAGGGAAAAAAGCGAGTGTTGACCGAAACAGATATTAAGCATCGGAACGTAATCTTTGGAGGGGGGGGGGGGGGCAGGGGGGGCAGTCATACTGTCAAAAAATGACTCGAACAAAACGAGGCGGTCGAAGCACCTCTCTTTCAAAACCCACGGACCGGTTAAGGGTGTGTACTGTTACAATGTTGAGAGAGTTTGGTTTGGGGTGCGTGCTGCAACAGCGCCGCGCTGGGTGCACCGGTGGACAGGTGGAGGGATTCCGACCATAGGACCAGGGTCAGGAACAACTATTCAAGGCAACCGGCCGGTTGCATTTTGCTACGCTGGCAGGGACTGGTCCACCCTAGCTGAGCCTTCCGAAAAGCATAGCCAGAGGCGCACAGTTTCGCGCAAAATGCTTACACCTGCAGCAAAGAGCCGCCCTCCGTTGAGCGTCGAAGCAGCGCGCTGTCTGCATATTCGGTACACTGAATGGTAGACGAGGTCAATATCGTTTGAGGGCAAATACCAACATGCCCAGCGTCTTGCTCAAGGGGCACATACTTCGAGCGCAAGCAGACGCCCCCGGAAGCACTGGACTGGGAGCCACAGTTGCCCGTAGGCCGCCACCATAGCATCTCTGAAGGCGTGACGAATACGTGCCCTCGTAAAATCCAAAACTGCCCTGCATTGCTCGTCGTATGAATGTCAGACGGCAGGGCAGGGAACAACGCCATGCCTCGTCTCTCACTCCAAGCCAAACATTGGTGATGCCTATCTGCTGCATCGCATTCCCACTGCTTCGACTATACCTTCGCCGTCTCCAGCAAAGCGGTGGCTTCCGCCAGCTCTTGTCTCGTGTCCATGTCCATTCCAAGCTATCTAGTGATCCGGTTTCTATCGTTGCATCATCCACCCCGGACATGCAGGCAGAGAGGCAGGAGAGCGAGCGAAGGATATAGAGACGTTGTCATTTCGTTCGCAAAGCTTTCATGCAGGTTTCGATTCTTGCACCAATTTCGGAAGGTGTGTGGTGGCGTGCGACTTATCTTTCAACGTCATAAAACCAATGGTCTACTTACAGCAGTACCACCATGCGAACCCAATCATTGGGATCTCCGCAGACATCTGTTGGCGGCCTGTTCGAGCAGTATTTAAATGAACGCTGAATACATGAAATTCGACCGGGGATCGGCAAACAATGGCACTATCGCGGTGTACCCAGACGGGCGTGCTGTACATGTGCGTTTGGCCATTCAAGCACACAAAACACAACCGTGACTATGATCACATCGTCGTTGAGTACAACCACACTACTTGTACAATCGCCAAGCAAGATCGAAGAGTTCAGATTATGGCCGGGCAACTTGCGGGTAGCCTTTCCATCGTGCGGAACGCAAACGTTTGCCACATTTTTGGAGTCAAGCGACTGGGCGAGAGTACTGCTGTCATAGCAGTACTGGCCTCGATTAGCCTGCCTGCTGTATAGTATCTATTGCTGTACAAGTCCTGCTGTTGGGAGGAAGTGAGAGCGCCTGGTGCGTCGCACATCATGTCGAAGAACGGGGGTGAATGTGACAATTGACTCTTTTGAAACTTCGGAAGGAGATGGGCATGATGACACTTCATCCAGGTCAGGGACCTTCGCGGTGTTGAGAGAAGATGTGAACCTCTTCCTAAACTAAGGATACCCCAACCCGCTGTGCCTTCTAGAAACGCTGCGGCGCCAGGGAAACATTTGAATTGAGAGCCCGATCTTGACAGGGAATCAGGCAATGAACCGCGGGCGAATAGAGGGAATGGCAGTCCGATCTTGTACCTTGTACCCCGCTTCTGCGGTCGGATACTGTAATTGTACCCTACTAGATGCTTTGCCCACCTTCTCCACTCCACTTCGGGGCGCGTTGGGGATGAGGTGTGGTGTGTGGTGATCAGGTGATGCGGCATCAAGGAGTTCAATCCCTTCTCGGGGGTCCCGCATGTTGAAAGCAAACATCCATGAATACTTTCCACGGAGCCCCTGGGTAGCCGGGCAGCCACCCACCCCACCTCCGTCGCGCATAACACCAGCTTCGTGCTCAACACACTTGAACATGAGGAAGCTGAAGTACCATGAGCAGAAACTCTTGAAGAAGGTCGACTTCTTGCAGTGGAAGAGCGACCAGAATATACGCGAGATTCAGGTGTGGAGGGTGGACGGATGAAAATTGACAGTCCTGCGTTGCTCAACCCCAAGTTGCGGGTGTGTCCCTGTTGTCAGCTGCCGCAGCCAGCGGGTACGGCTGCTGATATCAAAGCTCTGCTAGTACCGCAGTATCCCCTGTCCCTCATAACTCTCGGTATGTGGGGGTTTGCTTTCCCTCGCCCTTGCGGAGAGAGCTGCAGGAAACATACACCGAGGAATCAGATCTACGTAGATCACACCAGTGCATGTTTTGTCGTGGAACGAAGCAGTCTCAGGCAGTGTAGCTGGACCTTCACTTTTAGATCTACGTCGCACTCCTTCGAGGTCTGTCTCGGGTGGGCAGTCCTCCCTTGAAATCATTTCTGTGTTCTAGGAGGCTGTCGGAGACCAAAGGGTGCATGCGTGCGTGCATATTGCTCTGCGGTTCATCTTTGTATCTTCCTCTCTCGGTCTCTGCGTTGTTGCTGAAGGGTTCATCGGACGACGTGTGTACGGCACGCTACAGGAATCAATGGTACGGAGGTTCCTGAACCCTTGGGGTAACCCCGTTTCGTCAGCTCCCCTCTTTGCTTGTTGTCGCAGGTCCTTCGAAGATATCTGGTGCAGAACAGAGACGACTACGTCAAGTACAACAAAATCGTCGGGCTCATCACGAAGCTCACAGCCAGACTCAAGGTAGATTGCGGGACGAAATAACTGCTGGGCGTTGTGTGTTACCAACCCGGCAAGACGTGAGGTGTACAATTTTAACGGCCGGTTTAGAGCTGAGAATACACGAAGAAACTATAGCGAGCATTGCAAGATCTACGTCGGGTTTTAGCCGCTTCGCCGCGCCGCCACGTTGCCCCAACTATGTCGTCCGGCGTGGTCATAGTGTGCGTGCTTCGCGGTTCGGTGCGATCGACCACCAGATGAAACGACCTTCGTTGATTTTTCCCGCACCCCCCCGTAACGGTAGACCTTGGACGCGAGCGACGAATTCCGGATAAAGATGACTGAACAGCTGCTGGAAAAGCTGTTTGCGATGGGAATCATTAACACGAAGAAAAGTCTGGCCAAGACGGAGACCGCCAGCGTGTCGGCTTTCTGCAGGTGACACCATTAGGTCCTCAACCGGCCGATCTTTTTTCATCCGGCTTCGCAACCTGACTGATCACACCATGTACTAAACTAGGGCAGAACGAACCAAATAGAGCCGCGCGCCAATAGCCGACAGCAGGTGATTTGTCCACGGCGGGCGCACGCGCGGCTCCGTCACGACGCCTCATCGACCACGTTTTTTCATGAAACCGCACGAGCACCTTGGGAATCTGAGGCTTCTTGCTTCGGCGGGACAGGACGTAGCTGAATCGATGTGTCTACAACAGGGCTCCACGACGCTCTTGTGATGCTCACCCCACTGGCTTTTGTGGTGCGCATTGCCTTGGCACGTGTGCAACCCCCTCCCTCCTGAATGCAATTTCTGCCTTCCATTCTCCCTGCCCCCAACGCCTCTTATATTTGACGAGAGTCTGCTTCACAGAACATATTTTCAAATCCTGGATGTATTCGGCACAAAGTTCTTACGCCAAAGATTTTAAGTTCTTGCTACTTGTATCTTGGTGCAAGGAGTGTGCCGCTCAAAGGTTTTATCCCTCCTCGAAATACGCACGTGCTCGTTGCTTGCTCTTCTCCTACAGACGACGATTACCAGTGGTGATGGTGAGACTTAAGATGTCTGAGACGCTCACGGAGGCTACGACGTACATCGAGCAAGGGCACGTTAGGGTGGGTCCCCACGCTGTCACGGATCCAGCGGTGAGTGGGAAAGACTTCCCGTTGAGTGAACGGGCCGTCTTGACCATAGCGGTCGGTATCATTTGACTTGCGAGGCGATCCGTGCTCAGTGTTGAGGCTACAGTCGACCCCGCTTTAAAGGCACACCACGCTTTCCAAAAAAAAAGTGTCTTAAACGCGGGGAAGTGTCTTTAAATTCCGGGGCCACTAACGCACCATCCTCGGGGCCAATGAAGGCGAAAAATATGTCAAAAGGTGCGCATTCGCAGCAGAAAGGCGACTTCAAGAGGTGTTGTTTGAAACCTACGACACAAGGTGATTTGAAGGTCGCAACCACTGCTGCTATTGTGCTGCAATACATCCTTGCATACCATCGTTTGAATTTCCCCGTACTGTACCACCAAAACGCTGAAAGCGATGGTGTTCTACGACCTACGCATCGTACATGTACACGACGGTAGTGCGCTGCTGTTGATATGGGCTCAATTGTTTGCTTTATTTTATTTTTTAGGCGTTGTCCTCCCCGTGAATATCTTGCCCAAGATCTCGCTACCGCACCTGAGAAATATCGAAGGTTGTACAACGACACTAGGAAAATGTAAGTTACGCAGAAACACAGTGGCCGAAAATGTCGGGAAAGCACAGCGACAAAGAGGACACCGCGCCTCCCAAAAGGTCAAAACGAGGCACAACACAACACAAACGCCAAATTCAACCTCACGAGACTTCACCCAAGGCAAACAACGAACGTTGGCAATAAAAGTGCTTTGCTCTCCGATGCCCCGACCACAAAACGCGTGCATGGGTCGCCCGCACGGACACTGATGAACCAGTGACACCAGTGCAGATTTGAACTGGCACGTCGGTTCGCCGCATGGCTTCAAGCCGGCAGCAGACGAACCGCTAGCAGATGGAATGAATCTTTCCATACACTCACACGCAGTGTGCGGCTGCAGCAGACCGCTGTTAATGATCCATGATCTACAGGTGCTGCAGCACATTTTCTGGGGGGGGTCGAATGGTGGAAAACCCTACCCCGCCCCCTACTTTTTCACATCTGCGGGGCACCATGTTCTTGAGATTTTTGTGCCCTTAAAGCGGGGAGTGTCTTTAAAAATGTTGTCTTTAAAGCGGGTACGGACTGCATGGGAAAGAGCGAAACACATCTGCTTGCCACAAAGTGTGCGGTTTTTATATTGCTGGTCCTCCAAACCTGACTAAACACGTGCTGCCTCCAAACGGACTGCTTGGAAACCGCACTGTGCCTAAGACCGCAGCACTTTCGTGGAATGGACGAGTGCTCCCGCCGGAATTGTGGTCTTGAATATCGTTTCTGGTTATTTCTTCGACAATTCAGGGTATACTCTCTGCGCGAAAGTTACCTCAGCAGGATGTGCCTGCGCTTTTTCGGCCACGGTTGGGTGAAAAAGGGTTCCTACCAACCAGAGTTGTTTCAAGCTCATCAACCAAGGGTGCACCCTGTTGTGTCGAGCCTCTCCCCCTTGTCACCGTCCGACGGCACCGTTACTGACCAGGACGCCCTCAATGCGGCCAATCCCCCCCCATTACTTTTGCCATCGCACACAGTTTCTGGTGACCCGAAGTATGGAAGACTTTGTGACCTGGGTGGATGGCTCAAAGATCAAGCGCGCCATCAAGACATACGAGGACAAAGTGGATGATTTCGATCTGCTGGGGGAGGGGTAGTGTTGGTTGGAGCGACACCTGATCACAGTTGTTTTTTGGCTCTTCAGGGCCTGCCTTGTACGAACTATTTGATGTACTGATGAGTGATGTCTGTTGTGATTGTTTGATTCACGCAAAGTGACCGTGTTGCTTCGCACCAGTTCAACGTCAAGTTTGCTGGTCACACTCGGCCGATAAATATTTGAACATGTCGTCCGTGCTCTTGCTGGAATGACAGCGCCGTTTTTACGTTTTTACCGATGAGACCAATGGGGTGTGAAGATGAGTGTTCACGCTACGAACTTCAAGGCAACCCGACCCTCTATTGCCATCTCGCACAGCAACAGCCTGCCATGCCACACGACTTAATGCATTTAAGCTTGAGCAGTCTCTGCTCGCATCATTCAGCTCATGGCGTGCTATCCTTCATGTTTCAACAGTGACGGCCTCTGCTGATGGTTGGCAGAAAAACGTGTTCGGAGAGCCCGTCATCTGTTTTTCAGCAGCTGTCGGTCTTTGTCGACACTGAGCGAGAAACGCAGCAACCTCTGTTCATTGGTTTGTGCAACAAATACACGCCATCGTGGGAAACACTACGCGAAGAGGTGATCGCTCTCGCCGTTAATCAACTTCCACACACAATCTGAGAGGTTGGGCGCCCGAACTGTTGCTCCTGTATTGGGCCTCACCTGCATTCTAAACACACATGACGCACGCACATGCCCATGACCACTGCTGATGCTACTGCTGCTGGTAGGGCTCCAGTCTCGCCAGATCATCACCTGTCACGCCCGAGCCTCGATGTCGAAAGACGTCACACAACACACAGCCTCTCAAGCAGGGCAACACGACATTCAAAGGAAACCCGCAAGACGAACCAAAACGGCCCGGGCCAACAGGAGTAGTGGACATCAACACAACTTTGTTTGTTTCCCTTTTATCTTTCGTCGCCTCCGTGATCCAAACACCCAAGCCAAGAACCCATTCCGCAGGAGGGATCTTGTACAACACTGTTTCTTGCACTCCTCGTTCTTTGCCCCTCTGCTCGTTGGTACAAGTGTGTACTTTCCCCCCACCAAGCACAGCAGCTTTAGTCTCTCAACTACGTGTTGTAGTACATTCAGGACGACAAACCCCAGCAAGTTGTTATTTTCGGGGTGCGTAGGGCTTGCTTCTGCAGTGCACGTCTGACTCTGCCCCCTGATGTGCTGGCATCGGATGCCTCTCCTTCGAGGTTGCAGTGTGGTTGTCGAACCGCCAGGAGATGACACCTGTTGCATCAAGAGGGTCGCACCCGTTGGTCAAAAGGCAGGTTACGTTTGGGATGTCCGAAGGGACTTGAAACATTTTAAAATATGTCACCGCTTGTAAGGAGGGTTTCGTCATCACGGGACCACGGTTTCAGGACGTGACAGGATATTCAAATGAAGTGACGGAGAAAGTATTGTAGTGTTAAGGCCGCGTCAACATGACACTACGTGCAGTATTGGGATTTGGGGTGTACCGAGCAGCCTGGAGAAGAAGCCGCTGAGCGCATCCCGCAAGATGCATACGCTGATCGGCCAGCTCATGATCCTTCCGAGCCAGTGCACTATGTGCACATCGGTACACACAGAAGCGTGTGCCGGAGTAGTCCGGAAGTAGGTACGAAGCTCTTGTAGACAAGCTTGCCCGTGTGTGTGGGGGGGGTACTCATAGTCGTGCATGCCGTAGTCGTTAGACCATTGACCTCGCATCCCTACAAAGCCGGGACGGAGCACGCCGGGTTCTCACCGGACCAGGCTCTAACATCACCAAGCGCGAAGCGCCGTGAGGTATTCGGCGAATCGCATGAAGGGTGCGCTGCATCCTGCTAAGGGTTTTCGGCATCTTGTGCTTACTTCCTTGCGTACGGATGACAGCTGCGTATGACTTAATTTATTTTCTGGTGCTTTCGCTTCCAGAGACAAATGTACTCACTGTGTAACTTCCTCGACGGTGCTTGACCATTTTAACACAACGTGGTGCGACTACCCCGTTTGCGCGGAGTGAGGGTTCTCGACTTCGCACAGCATCATCTGCTCGACTACCATTCATGGTTACCGCCAAAAAAAAAACGTAAAAAAAAAAAAACGGTAACCTGGTTGCCGAGCTCACGAAGTGATCGGCTTGTTTTACAACATCGCTGCCGAGCGACGAAAACCCAACCCCGATGGCAAACACCGAGGGGGGCGGCTTGTTTTACAAAGCCGTTTCCACGCGACGAAAACGCAACCCCTATGGCAAACACCGGGGGGGTTGGGATAAGGGACGGTAAAAATCCAGGAAGGGGGGAAACGTCAAATTTTCAGTAGATGATGCACGTGAGTGCGCGATCGACATTTGTGACGTACAATCAGTTGCATCGGTCGCCTGCCTGGTCTAGTGGACAACCTCGCAGGGCTACTAAATAGTAGCAGGTTGTGGGATCGATTCTCTCTCTGAAGGGTTTTCTTCATTGCCTACATTTGTGTGACCCTGGACGGTTGTAGTTGTACGAAAAAATACACTGAAAAGTGTAGTACTATATATACGCTGAGAAGTGTAGTACACGTCTCACCACGAAAGATGGGGGGACTGTCGCCATAATTAATAGGACGAAAACACACACACACATTTTGCTGTGCAATACGACTCCTCTCGTGAATATTCTCGCGTCGACTCTACGGTCGACCAAAGAACGGGACGACTGAACCCTTTTCCTGGCATAAACCATAGGAGAGGTGGAGCACAAAAAAAAAGTCCTGTGTGACCTTCCACCTTCCTCTTGTGTGACCCCGGCTGATACTTCAAACACACACACGCCAGAAAAATGAGATCAGCACATGCGCACAATCACGATATCAAAGGCGTCGCTCCCGCACACTTTCTAAAACAAGCTCCGCGACATTTCCAGAACCAAAGCATGCGCTCAGCCCCGCGAGTTGTGCCCGCGGAAAGACCAGCGCATGCGTTCTACAGTGCAGTGGTTTATCCTACTTCGGTGCTGCATCCGTCCCACTCCGCCACAGGCGAGCTCAACTACCATGCAGCGGCAGCGGCGTCGTACAGCTATATCACTGGTGGTCTTGTCCATGTATCCATGCTTTCTGTCAAAACAACCTGTCTCGCGGAATGTATTTTCGACAGCTGAGATTGAGGCATCTTATCCCCCTCTGGCAAACTTCATGAGTGGCACGCGCTTAACCACCGTAAAGCGACAGCAGCGCCGAGAGTGGGCATATGGTGTTGTCAGCCGAACCGAAACAACAATATGAGCAACATGAATACCCCGAGTTATAGCAGAGATGATGCAACCGGAGTGCATTTTGTTGCAGGTCTAGCGTCGGAACTTGTGCATGTGTCATCTCAATCTAGAGTAGGCACCAGTGTTCTAACTTGGCCCCAAGAATCGAACTACAGTTCAAGCTACGTAAGAACCCAAGCTACATAGCAATTGAACCACCGGCGAGGTGACCGGTAATGGTCGGGAAATGACTCTACAGTTGCTTATCACCCTGGCCATGCCCTTGGGCTGGCCTTACCCGTCACATTCGGCGAAACCAAAAAATCATCCCCACTAGGGTGCGTCGCTTCGTCCCATCTAAGTTCTGGCACCTCATTGTGTTGCTTGGCCTGTGGTACAAATAATTTCAGTAAATGTGCTGTTTCAGGCCCTGACAAGACTTGACTCCAAACGAACGATACTCAACGCGATTCCATGAGCGGTGGGCAATACGGGGATGGATTACGGTACATGAAGATAAGACATTGAGGAAGCCGCACGTGGATGAATACATCAAACGGCACCAAATTGGGGGGCATCGACCGTACTTGCCTTCCAACCAAGAGAGAGAAAAACACCGACCGCGCACCTCGCAGGGTCGCACAACCGCACGACTCATGAAACACCCGGGTTGCTGTCCTGAAGTCATTCGACCATTTTTTGTCTCACCCATCACAAAAATAATAGCACCGCGCGGAACATGGCGTCCGCCTCCAATTCCACCAGCCTCTCAACCAGGCCACTCAGTTCGCTTTTTTTCTCGTGGATAGCTTTCCCCGAGCTGTTGTTGGCATGTACTCCATCGCCCGAGGAACACCTCTTTGCGATACTTTCACTGACGCCGTTCGACGGCGACTGTTTCATGGACAATTCTTCCACGCGTGCACGCATCAGAATTAGCCAGCTCCAGCGAGGCCGAGCCCTGTCTTGCGGAGCGTGTCTAAGCAGCTCAAGGACGCTCTGGACCATTTCCTGTGACAATAGTGGGTCGAAGATAAACCTCCAATGAACTCGGTCGGCGGCTGTTTTTCCTTGGCTATCCAAATCTGTTTCGCAGAAGCCTAGCCGCAAAAGGATGTCCACCATTTCGGGGGCGTGCTCAGGGAGACTAGCGCATGCGGTGCTCAGTGGTATATCACCGTCAAATCGCGTATGGATGTTGGCCCCGTGTCGCAAGAGGGCGTGGAAGCATTGCAACAAGCGCCCCTCACGGTTTGATGGATGGGCGTTCCGCCGGCATCCCATCCTTCCAGGTCTGCCCCGGCCCTGACGAGTACATCGATTATGCCGGAATTGTCGAATGAGCGGCTCGGTGTAGCGGGATGGTACCGCGCTCGCTGCATGCGTTTACGTCGTCCTTGCCCCCGTGGTGGATCAGTGCCCCAACCACGGCCAAGTGCCCGGATTCGATGGCTATGTCAAGCGCCGACCGAGAATCCGATTCCATTGAGCGCACGGAAGTGTCTACACCTGCCGCAAGGAAGGCAAGCGTTCCGTCAAGGTGACCGTACTCGACTGCCAAATGCAATAGAAGCCTTCCTTCTCTATTCCGTGCGCGGTTGTCGGCTCCGCTCACTGGAAGTGCTGCCACTATGCGCCCATGTTCCGCGAACTTGGCCGCAACGTGAAGGGGGGTGTTGCCTTGCCCATCATAAACATTCGTCCATGCCCCGCCCATCAATAAATCAGCAACGAGCTGGTTGACTTCCTATCACGGCGACGTGGAGAGGACTGCATCGATCGACAGCAGTGTCGACGAAGTTGACATCTGCTCCTGCCATGACGAGCCTCGCTCCCGCCGCTTCGTTGCCGAGGATTGCCGCACGGTGAAGCGCTGATTGACCTTTTTGGTGAGGAAGACACCATCTTGGCGTCCGGTCCACACCCTGCTCGGAGTAAGGCAGACACCACATCTGCGCTTCCACCAACAGCGGCAGCATCGAGGAGCGTGCGCCCGTTGCACCCCGTTACTCCCGCAGAGCCGTCTGCTCCAGCTTTTAGAAGCCTCGATACGAGATCGATATTTCCACGGGCGGCAGCATGCTCGAGCGGCACCCGCAACCACTGGCGCCATCGACAAGGTGTCGAATTGTTGGACACGAGGTTGAAGAGTTCAGATTGTACTCCTTGCAACACCAGCCGCTGAGGATATACGTGCATGGTGCCGTTGCTATTGTTGGGAGAGAGTCCGTTTACGGGTTGCAGTGTCGCGTGTCGCAGTTGAGATAACACCCACAGGGGGACGTCAGAAAACCATTCCCGGGTTTCTGGTAGAGGAATTTTGGTTCTCAGTGAGCACATATGCGCCGAAAAGAGAGGTCAAAGGCTTCAGGCTGCCCTGAGCGCTCTGCAAGGACCACCACCGCCACCGTAGACAGCAGCATCACACCTTCACCTCTCTTGGCCTCCAGAATCCAAACTTTGGTGCTCGACCCGGCAGACACACCAAAACACACGCCGCACCAGGATCCATCGAAAGATATTGCTCCTTGCGAGAGAGAGCTGCTATTCTCTTACAGGGTGGTTGTTGCGACCATCCGATAGCGTAGACCGGCACTCAGAGTGAATCGGCAGCTGTGTGTATGTCTACATAGGAGGCTCCCGTTGTGCTCAGATAATTGCTTCCGAATACATTGTTGAAAAGACAGCAGCAGTGTCGATCCGCGGTTGGTTTGGTCTTCGATGATGGTTTCGTTTTTGATCAAGAGAGGTTCGGGTCCAACCGAACCCGTCGCAACATCGCGCGCGGCGCGCGGCATTCCCCAGCAGAACACCACACAGCCATACAGCCACGCGGCAAATGCCATACAACGACACAATTTTGTATGCGTACTCGTGATATAAAACAGCGCAACGAAGGATATCTCCCTACTGACCCCCGCTCACGCGCTACTGCTTGCTGTTTGTGGTACAGCAGTGTTATCATAGTAGTCTGTTATTGTTATACGCCGAAAGGTGGGCAGTACCTTGGCGGTGCTCACTTTTTGGCTCGCCCTCCGCCCGCGGATAAACCGCGGGTAAACGGTTAACGATCATGGTCTACGGACATGCCGCTGAAAGCACGGAAACACCTGAAACATTCCATGCAAGGAAGATGACCTATAAACGGAAGAAATTGGTAAGCAGCGGGTTTTGGACCCGTGTCGACGCCATAGTCAACAATTGGAATCGGTCTCGACCGACGTTGAGGAGATTGTACCTTTGTGAAGGTGGTGTCCATAAATAAAAGGAGTACGCGCGTGTGCGTTCCAGGCCTCCCGTATCCGAAATGCTGCATACAGAAATTCGCAGAGGTGGTGGCGCATGGTAGACAATACCCTAATGTCCAGCCCAATCTACATTGGCAAAGCCCAAATTCCCCTGGGTAATTCGTTGCGTCGCCGCAGTCCATGCCCACGGAAAAATCAAAAAGTACTTCGTATGATTTTTCAGCACTCCCGTTACAGAAGTACAAACAAGTCATCACAGAAATCCTCGTTCCTCTCTCTCCCAGATAAGGCCATCTCTACATAACTAGTAACTCGGTATAGAAGTGTACACTTGAAAACATAAATATAGCCCCTACGATACACCACCTCCATTATGTATGACGAACACAACGATGTAACCCTCCACAAAACAAGCAAATCGGAAACAAACGTGCCACCCCCGAAACCTCTAACAAAACGAGCCCAACGGCAAAACAGTCACTACTGATGAAACGAGGTCTTTCGCCGTTCTGCTGCCTACAGTTTCACGTACCCCTACGCAAACTGGGGCCATCGCCATCCTTTCGGGCGCACTCATAGAACCACATGGAAAACCACCACGACAGGTTTGTTTGGGTACGCTCCAAACACAAAAAAAAGTGAGTCCGTGAGTTCAGCGACAGAGACGGGGCAGAAAAGCATCAATTTCGAGTGCGCTTTGTGGCCGCACAGATGAACAAGCAGGCACCCACCAGGTTGGATCAGATTGGGATTCTCAAGAGACAAGTCAAGGCCTTGCAGCAACGAGTAGATCAACCGCTCGATCGATCAACACCCGTCAAGCACACGGCAAATATGCCATCACTCAAAATCACCGACGTCTTTTACCACAGCCAGGGCGTGCGGCCAAATCTATGCACAAACAATGATTTAATTTCGCGTGGTTATTTGTGCGAGTAGTGCGCCTTGACTTCGCCGAGGAGATCTTCTATCGTGGCCTTGGCGTCGCCGAGCAGCATGTCCGTGTTGGGCTTGAAGAAGACGGGGTTGTCCACGCCGGCGTACCCAGTGGCCAGGGTTCGCTTCATCACAACCACGCGCTTGGCTTCCCAAACCTACCGCACGCAGCACAGCCGACGGAAGAGGCGGACAATGAAACAAAACAACGACCACGCCAAGCCAAGCCAATTGGAAGGCATGGATATTGGCGACAAGTAGAGTATAAACCATGTAGGTGTAACGAGAAGGTGTTGCCGTCATAGCAGCAACACGCGGCAGCAACAACAGCAGCACATGGGACGAGGAAGGTCGCAAGACAACAACACGCCAAGAGGCACAACATGGCAGCTGAGGCATGCATCGGCATGACGCGACACCCTTGAAGCCACCAATCAACGCCATCGCCAAGTCTTGTATCCTCAGCCACGATTGCCTAGAGTATTTACACGGAGTAGTTCAAAAGCTTGTCTTCTCGTGTACTCTGGTAATGACCGCCCAACAAAGGACGCCGCGGATGACGTCTTAATATCTCCCCCGTGTGAGCAAACGGACCACACCCAGTCACACCAAACAACAGCCACAGAAAATGACACCCAAACCACCAACAGAAAATCAAAGCCATCACCACCATCGTCAACAACAACAACACCCGTTGCAAGAGGCGGAAGGTAAGTCCTTACCCGGATGACGGGCATGCCGGCGATGGAGCTGTTGGGGTCTTCCTCGGCGGCGCTGTTGACCGTGTCGTTCGCGCCCACCACGAGGCACACGTCGGCCGAGCTCATCTCATCGTTGATTTCCTTCGTCCATTTCCGAATCGCAACAACACACAACACGCGGAAAGCAGCACACAGAGGGCGACGACGGACCGAACGCGCAGGGGTAAGCAACGGAGAAACCACGCAATGTGCCTCGAATCGAGAACGCCATGTATTGGCCCTTCACTTCCTGTCCAACAAAATGAACTGGATATGAGTTTTGTTTGCGTGGGATAACATTGTAGGTCTTCTTGTGTGCAGTCGATAGCCTAGCCTCCCTGCTCTTTCGGGACGTTTGATAGCCTAGCGTTTCGGACACAGCACAACAACATCAAACGTCCGGTGTCTGGGCAACAAAAACGACGACGACAACACAACAAAAAGCGCAAAGAAAAAAAAAAGAAGAGAACCGCGAAACGTTTGTCCCGACAGGCGTCCGGACCTCCATCTCGTACACGATGTCGTACGGCACGCCCGCCTCCGCCAGCAAGACGTTCAGCTGCCCCGGCATCCTCCCCGCCACGGGGTGCACGGCGAACTTAACCTGCAGGTACGTCGTCATACAGCGAGCACCATATACAACAGCAACAGGGAGTGTTGTAGTTGGATGGAATGAAACCAGTGTCCTCGGGCAATACCAGTACAAAAAAGTCAGTGGCTGCTAGAGGAAGGCAAGCAGCCATACGTAAGCAGATCAAGTAGAGGGAACAAACAACTACCACGCACAACGTAAAACTGAGCGTGTGGACCCTTCTCGAAGTTTAGGTTATGAACTGGTGCGCGGGATTGCGCGTGTGGAACGTGGAGATGTGCATGACGTCGTGCGGGGCGCCTTTAGGTTTTATCGCCGAAATAAATACGCTGCAGTTGTGTTGCGTGTGAAACTTTTTAACCATCGGCATGCGGTCGGAACCAACACATGTTATGCCAAGGGAATTCTTGGAAATCGAAAATACCACAGATATGAAACGCTCAGCAAAGTGTGCTTGCGTGTGTTCCACCCCTAGATCAGGATCTTGACAAGACAAGTGGACATTCCCGACCAGCTGACAGCGGTAACTCGCGCCTGGGCGGGTCTACACCTACAAGAGCTCTTTAGTAAAAAAAATGGTCGTACTTCAATCCTGTTTAGGCGCGTATGTACGTGTCTCGCTGTCCTTTCCTTCTGCACACCGAGAACACGAGGGGAAACAACCCCCTCCGTTCCTTCTCCACACGCGCAAGTGAATTCCATGTGTGCACAATTTACGTGCCTTGATTCCGTGCTTGGTCAGGGTCTTGACCGTTTCCGCGATGGCGTACTGTGCTCCCGCCACGGCAAGCCCGTAACCGGGAACAATCACCACCTGGGGTGAGGATAATGTGAGGGCTTAAGTTGATAGGGATAGGAAGCGGGATAGGCAGGGAGAGACCAACAGGATCGGACGAACGTAATCGACCATCCGTCGCCCGAAACCACCGTAAGGTTTAGGACAGGCTGCGCGGCAGAGGGCGGCACGGGTAACAAGACCTCCATGAAAATATGAAAATAGACTACGAGCACCACGCGAGAGAACGGACTAGGGCAACAAGTGGGGCTCGAGAACGGACCTAAATAGCGTCGGACAGAAAGGCAAAGACAAACACGTCTTTTTCCGTCATACTACGGCACAACAAATCCATCTTTATCCGCAGATAAGAGTTGAATACTTTTGGCTGGAAAATCCTCTACCACGCATCCCCTTCCCGCCACCGCTGTTCTGGCCTCTGCCTCTTCCTAACCCTTCCATCTCTTCCACCCCCCACTTCCGTCTCTGGCAACCCGTCTCCTCACCGAGTTCGCCTCGGTGAGCGCTGTTGCCACGTCGGGTGCGGTGGTCATGGTGGCCTCGCCCTCGATGGCCATGGCCTCGCCACCCGCGGTGGCCTTGGTCCCGAAGCCTCCGAGGAGCACGGACACGATGTCGCGGTTCATCGCCTTGCGGACGACAAAAAAACAAGTGTCGTGAGGTGCAGTGGCGGCCAACGATTTTCGCCGGTTGAGTGAGTAGCACGTGGCAATTAACCCATATCTGACCCCTCCCCACCCGCCGCTTCTCTCCTGAGGAGATCCGAGAACAAAACACTCAGGCAGCCAAAACGCCAAAACGAGAACACCCTAGGTACCCGTTTGGTAAATTTCCTACCAGCGTGCCAAGGAGCCAACGATTTACAAATTATCGAGGAAACTATGGCATGGCATGCCATTCTTCTCTTCAGCAACAGCAACAGCAACAGCTACGTCGGAAAGAGCCCGTGTGCGCTTGTAAGTGCTTGCAACCACTAAACTATAGTGTCTTGCTCTGAGAGTATGGATGGAACTACGTTGTACTGCACGATCATGCGCACAGCATGCCTCCGCGCAGACCTCGCACGCCCTGCGTGTACGCTTGCCGCCCGTTTGTCACCGCCACCGTGTTCCACACACCTTACCTTGCACATGATGTCCGTCAAGATCGCCCCAGAAGAGCCGATGAGTGCCCCCACCACGGTAAGCAGCGGCTTGTCCAGCATGAAGCCCTCGGCACACAGGGCCCACCCCGAGTACGAGTTCAGCACGGTGATAACCTGGCGCGGCAGACGATAAAACACACGCACACACATGATGGCCTTCATAAGCATTTTGTGTTTTCAATTGCACTGAGACTGACATGTTTTCAAAGGTCAGCCAGTTGGCGCGGTAGATGCTAAAAATGTAAAAATAAAAAAAAGAACACACACAGACTAACGTGCGTGAAAGCCGCAAACCGAAGGAATAAAAGGGCGTGGAAGCTGTAGATGAAGGTTGGCGTGGTGGTGCAGTTGGTAATTATGGAACACAAGTACACCCGTCTTGCAAGCGTAGCCATTTTCTGGTCTCCTCGCACCGAGTTCTACACGCCGTAGTGCAACACTCTAGTGTCAGGACATCGGCCAGGTGGGGGGTCCGAGAAACGACCGATGACCCAGCTACCGACGACTAACGTGAAAACCTAGACTGAAAATCACGACCGAACACACGAGGTTTTCGTTTTGTTTTTGTTTTCAACGGACAGCGGGCCGTGGGTGCTTCAACCATGCATTACCCAAAGCCTCGGCGCCTTGGGCGTGTAACCCTGCATGTACAATCCGCCTGCGTTCCACGTAATTTACGCCCTCTCCGATTCTAAGACTCTCCGGACACGTTGTATGTCTTATCTGGTTTCTTACCACCGGCATGTCGGCACCCCCGATGGATGCAGTCATGTGCGCCCCCAAGAAGCCCGATCCGGCGGCGGAGAGTCCGAGCAGCGCGCATCCCATCTACAGCACAGCACACAGCAAAGTCAGTGGTTCAGTATCAATCACAACACGGTGGAGGGAACGGTCGGAGAGAACGAGGAGGGACCTCGGGTGACGCTGGCATGGGGGGGCAGGCGGTGAGGGGCATGGTGAAGAGCGTGGTAAACGTTCTGGCGTGAGGCGTAGGAGCAAGGTTAAGACTGTCTCCCCGACAGCGCGGAAGTAGCAGCAAGTTCGCCAAAACTTGCAATTGATGATCTACTTGACGATCGCAACCCAAGAGAAGTCCCACATCTTACACCAACATTGTAACAGCAGAAAAAAATAACATCAGTAGCAACAACAGAAAATAATAACAGAAGTAGAATAACGGCATCTAAACGCGTGTCAACCAAGCGATACTATCCCACAGGATGCATGCTCTGTGTTGTAAAAATTTCCGGATGAGGTGTAAAATATCCTGACGCGCGTTCCGGGGCACAATTCAAGAGAGAGACAAAAACTGAAGCTCAATCGCCGTGAAGGGTCTGTCAGCAGCGCCTCCCCCCTCCCTTCCTCCCTCCCTCCCTCCCTCCCTCCCTCCCTCGTGGAGAATCTCCACAGAAGTTGAGCCGAACAAGCTGGGAGCGGGACAATCATGAGTAACTGTTCAGCCCTGGATTGAGGGTCTCCAGGAAAGGTCAGAGTCAGGTCGACAACACTTGACGGGGTGAATGAAACCAGGACGCCACGATACTTGGGGGGGGTTCGTACAGTACAGCAGTAATATGGTGATTTCAGCCTCGTGCACTGCTATACGCACCGCAGGAGAAGAAGGGCCGACGACAAAGGCAGCCATGCCCCCCAGGCACGCCAGCCCCACGCCCGCGTTCATCGGGTCCCTACCGGGCAGCTTGAGGGCTGCAGACGGCAGCAGTCCCTGACAATACACAACAACGACAGAATGAGGGTGCAGCGACGTGACACGCGAGGAGAGCACATCACACCACGGATTAGGGTGTACACAAGAACCCAGGCGAAAAAATCGTGACAAAGAACAATTTTGGGCCTGTGGTTGTGCGTAGTTGGCCGGTGACCACCGAAAGTGCCCGAGTCAGGTGGACCAGTGCGGATGCGAAGATACTGAGCAGCGACCGTTAATATATGTAAATACAACATCAACAACAACAACGAAGAAGAAGGACAGCACATCACCGCAACCTTCATTGGGCATAGTACGTTAGGTGCGAAAGTTAGTGAAAGCGCAGCGCTGAGGCCTCCGAGAAACCCGCTGCAAGGTATGGCAAGACTACCGTGTAGACAGGCAAACAAACAAACCTGCAGCTTCCCGAAGGCTACGACCGAGCCGGTAGCCGTAGCTCCGCCGATGAAGGATGCCAGGTACACCGCGCTCATGCGCACGGCGTCCGCCGTCGCCGCCGGGTCGTGCATGTGGTGCGTGTAGTCGCCCACCGCGGTCCCGCAGGCCGCGAGCCCCACGAGCGAGTGGAACGCCGCCACCGTCTGGGGGAGCTCGGAGGGGCCGACCCTCTTCGCCACCTGTAAATATATTTTTTCGGTTCCCGTTGGTTTGCGAGAGGGCGGGGAGAACATGCATGGATTTAACGGAGGAAGGGAACAGAGCGACTGTATCGGAAAAATGCACACGCCAACGAGAAGTGGCACGACTGCTTGTGGTTACTATAGGATGGTGTTTTCCTCCAAGAACTACACACCAAAAAAAAAAAGGACGATAAAAACATTCAGCAGCACTTTAAAAAGATAACAACGCATTACATTAAGGTAGCATACACCAGCAGCAAAAAAAACAAAGAATTCTCAAACCTGGTATCCGCCCACGCCTCCGACGCCCATCAGCCCGGCCAGCTGCGCCAGTTGCGCCGGGCCGGGCGCGAGCGTCCCCACCGTGGCCGCCACTCCGAAGGCCACCCCCGACATGCCCAGCACGTTGCCGAGGCGCGCGGTGCTCTGCGAAGAGAGGCCGCCGATCCCTCCGATGCAGCACACGGCCGACGCCATGGACATAAACTGTGGACGGGGGGGAGGGGGGAGGGGGGGGGAGTCCACGCGGATTCGTGTTAGATGCTGTCGCGTTTAGGTTCAAATGTGGAAAGTGGGGCGGGCGGGGGGGGGGGGGGGGGGG